GAAATAACACTGGCAACCCACAAATAGGGAACTGTTCAAACAGATTCATGCACCAGCTAGTGGAGTAGATAAATCATATTTTCTCTTGGAAGCTGCATATATTTTTGTGTCTTGGACTGCTCAGGAATCCAATTAACATTCTTGAAAGAACGTGTGTTTAATCATTAGTTTTCAGGCTCAGCGGGCAACTAGTTGTACAACATATCTTAATGCTGTCCTGGAATAAAAGGACTATCAGAATATTAGAAATCTCTCTGTCTCGCATGGAATATGCACAATGCAGCAAATCACAATACTGGTAAAACACGTTCATCCATCCCTTCATTAGTTGAAAAAATTAAGAAAGAAACACAATCACTGCTGTGAATGAACTGAGGTTGGTTTAGTGACTTTCTGTGATATTATGCAGTAAATTTTATTCCCCTCACAAACCACTACAATATACAGGGCATTTTATAGTTAGCTAAGCATTTACGGAATCATAAGTAATACATTTTTCAAGGTAAGCTGAACTATTCACATTAATATTACCTACAAGATTTTTTCCTAGAAAATGTCATCAGTGTATTGTATTTCTTTCATTAAGTGTATTCACTGGGTCACTTGCTGGCTTGGATAAATGATCCAAGTTTTCTGCTCAGGTTCTTCATGTAAAATTGGGATAAGAGTTGCTCCTGAGGATTTCCATGGCGGTCCAGTGGTTAAGACTCTGCACTTCCAGTGCAGGGAGCATGAGTTTGATCCCTGGTCAGGGAACTAAGATCCCATATGCCACACGGCACGGCCAAAAATTTGTTTTAAATTAAAAAATATATATGCTGCATGCAGTTTAAGTTAAAAAAAAAAAAAAAACGAGAGAGTTGCTCCTGAGTTTGTGATAGGATTAAATGAGTGAATAAATAAGTGTTAACCACTATTCCTATTATATGTAATCATTAATGGAACAAATATTTCGTAAGTGCCTACCGTAATGTACCAGCATGCTTCTAGCAGAGAACAAAGCAGAGATCCGTTTTCTGATGGTACAAGTGCTACAGAGAAAAATCAAGCTGGGCAGGGGGCCAGGAATGAATGTGTGTGTGGCAAGAGACGGTAGGGAGAGGTGCTATTTCAGGGTGTTGGGGAATAATATCTCATTGAAACGGTGACATTTGGCAGAAATTCTAATGTTTCTAATATTTCCATGATGGCATGAAGATATCAAAGAGACAGTGTTCCAAGCAGAACAAAGGTCCGTGGTGGCAAAGGCGTGGTGTGTTTGAGGAACAGCAAGGTGAATGAAATAATGAGAGAGGAGTGGGGGGGTGAGGTCAGAGAGGTGACCAGGGGGTCTGGACACGGAAGACCCTGGAGACTGCTACAAGGACTTTGGTCTTTGCACTTCCCTGGTGGTCCAGTGGTTAAGACTCCCCGCTTCCACTGCTTGTGGCTTGGGTCCAATCCCTGGTTGGGGAACTAAGATCCTGCATGCTACACGGTGCGGCCAAAAAAAAGGGACTTGGTCTTGTACTCTGAGATGGGAAGCCAGTAGGAGTTTTCAAGAGGCATGACAAGGTCTGGCTAACATGCTGAGAAAGACCAGTGCAGTGGGGAAAGGATGGGGGAAGAAAGATAAGTTTTATCCATGATGGTGGAGATGAAGAGAAAGTGGCTGGATTCTTGAGATAGTCTCGAGTTGGTGACCACAGGGTTTGCCAATGGATGGGACTGTAGGGCCTAAGAGAAAAAAGGTGAGTCAAGGAAGACTTTGGGTTTTGGCCTGAGCAACTGGAAGAAAGAAGTTTACCATTTGCTGGGATGAGACAGACAGCAGGAGAAAGCAGATTTTGTGAAACGTTCAGGAGTTTACTTCGGATCTGGTGAATATGATAACCTCAAGCCCAGCTTGTGGGCTAACACCCCACAAGCAAAGTCAGACCAGAAATAAACTTTAAACAAACTGACCTTTCTTCTGTAATTTACTTCAATGTCATTTTGATCTCACACTATCTAAGGAAGAATGTTCCCAAAAAGAACTATTCATTATGTTGTACACCTAAAATGAATAAAATGTTATAAGTCAATTATCTCTCAATAATAAAAAAGAACTGAAAAAAGAGAAGAAAGCTCGAAAAAATAGCACTCTGGGGAAAAAAAGATATTTGTCCCAAACCCCGAATCAAATTTAAATATAGAACTCTATAAACAATCAAATTTCCTTTGCTGCAGTAGCGAAGGAACAAACATGCTACAGTACTCAGAGTCGAAATAGCAATTAGCTAAGTAATAAAATTACTACTGAGCATCCCCTATTATATCTGAGCGTCAGTGCCCAAGACGATGTTTCCTAGGAAACCAGAAACCTCCCAGGCACAAATACTGTGAACTAAAGTCCCTCTCAAATGCTGTGTTCTAGATCATCCCCAAGTATTTAGGAATCAAGGACTTTCTAAACTCTTAAAAAAAACAAACCAACCCACGTTCCGCTGACCCAGGCAGAAAAAATACAGGGGTCTCACAAGCGAAAACTATTGAGTCTTACTGACAAAAACTAAAACACAACAACAAAAATAACAATGAAGCCCACAAAATTCTCAAACCAGACCAAAGATTTTCTCAGGATTATATTCTGATCCATTAAGGGTCTCCTTCCTTCCTTCCTTCCTTCCTTCCTTCCTTCCTCCCTCCCTCCCTCCCTTTCTTTCTTTTTTGCCATTGCTTTTTTAAAAATCTCACTGATTAAGATAACGAATGGAGGAGAGGAAGGAATAAGAGGGAGGTCAATTTGAATTTTCAAAACATCTGACATAAAACATTTTAAAGGAGTATAATTACGACATTCAAATACACTTAATATTTAGGACTAAACTATCAGTGTTTTACCAAATAGAATTCCTTTGGGGACCAACCAGAATCAACGTAAATTGCAGATGACATGATTGTTTAGATAGAAAATGCTAAGAAATCCACAACTACTACAAACAATAAGTGAATTTAGCAAGATTGTAAGTTAAGGTACAAAAATCAACTGTATTTTTATAACAGAAGCAAGTCACTGGAAAAATGAAGTAAAAACACATTTACAACGAGATCAAAAAAAATAGTTCAGAATAAATTCAACAAAGATATGGAAGACTTACACACTGAAAACAATAAAATAGTAAGAGAAATGTTCTAAAGTTCATCCCATTCTGGACACTTTCATGCTCTCCTGCCAACCTATCTTTATATACACTACTGCTCATAAATATACAATCAAGTTGCTTTATCTCATAAAATTAAAGACCATCTGCAGAGACAAACTGATAAAATAATTCCATAGAGAAAGTAGAAAGGCCCAGTTATTTGCTAAAGTTCACCCAGCCAGTAAGAGGCAGAGCTGAGACGTACATATTTGGGGTGTTTCCTCTTATTTAGTGACGGTTTCATAAACAGAGAACTTAAAGCAAGTGAATGCATATAGCTTTGGATTCAAGTATTAATATTTTGCTTTTTGCATTGCCAATAAAAAAGCACACATTTAAATGTACTACAGACATTTTGTGGGGCTTTTTCTTGTCCCCAAAATGTTCTGTTTTTCCTATTGGGCAGTCAATATTGGATGGGAAAGTGATTCACCTGCTTCTTTAAGAGTTGATTCTGCATAAAAGAAAGTCACATGAATTTCTAGGAAGGATATCAGATCTGGGGGGAACTAGAAATGTGGTGAATCATAAAACAAACAGAATAGCAAGGAACTAGGAAAGATCGCACTTAGGATACTGAAAATTAACATGGAGTCACCAGTCACTGCCTAACGGCCGACAACGACACACAAACCTGTAAAACTGCTGGTCATCACCTAGGACTGTCATTTGTCAGAGAAAAACTGCCCACATGCTTCCAACTTGGACACTTTTATAAGTGTTTAAAGTGTCATAACCTACTAAAAATACTTTAAAAATAATGAAAGATTAAATAAATGCATTGATGAAAACTTATTTGCATCCTAACATGATTCCAAGTTAATGTGTTGTTTAAACATTCATAAGAAAAAGGAAAATCGATGAAAAAGAAATTGTTAGCCTGACCCTCAAATCTTCTAAATACCTTTGGAAATTCAAAGTCTGAAAATCATTAATAAATAATGAAATTGAAGTATATATTCTGACCTTCAGCAAAAATCCTCTTTGGTCATTAAGCTCAATAACAAAGTGTTCCAGAATTTACTCAAGTCGTGGTGAACATGTAGCATTCTGATACAGCTTCCGTCACTTAATTATAACAAGTTTAGTCCTGGAATACTCCTACGAATTACATCACTTAGAATAAAGCATTTGTGTATGTGGGCAGGCTAATTTCACCTCACATAAAAAAAACAAAAAACAAAAAAAACACCTGTTCAAGTATAGCCTCTACCTAGATATTCGGCTTTCTTATTTCTTCCACCTTCTGGTAAGCTCCAGAGTTACTGGAATGCAGAAATATTCTAAAGGGGGACTATGCTAATGGCACAGTCCAACTCCAATTATACGTCTCGTATGTTTGGCATGAATCACATGTGCATTTATCTGCCAGCAGAAGAGGAGAAGGGAAGGGACAGAACACACAGCTACCATCTGCTGCCATCCCCCAGCCTCCCTAGAAATGAAGACAAGGGTGGGAGTTTCTCCTGGAGACAGGAGCAGAGTGTATTCACAGTGGGCCCACTGAAGTGCTTTCAGGAAGCAACATTTGGACCTTGCACATTAAAAAAGCAAAAGAGACATCATCCTAGATAGAGCGACCCTGCAACAGTAGCATTGGATTCCATTGTGAGGACTCCAGATTTTCGGTCTGATCCAGCAGCTGCAGATGAGACCAAGTGAGGTCTAAAGACCACTGTTCTTAGACAGACACATTCTTGCCCACTGCCCTACAGTTCTCACCACTCCCTGCTGTCTTGCCCCGCCCACTCCATTAATTTATTTTACCACCTGGCCCTTTAGGCATTTGAGTTTGCAACCCCTGGTCTGCACTCATCAATTAAATCAGGTACTTACAGCTGCATGACCAAGTACAAGTGATTTGGGCTTTCATAGATGTCTTCCAGGGCCACAATATTTTCATGCTTAATCCTGAAAAAAAAAAAAAAAGCACACACACAGAATAGTAAGTATGAGACATGCAAACTTTTTTTAAAAAAAAAAAACAAACAGATGTCATTATAGCAAAAAATTCTAAGACAGAATCGAAACTCCTTAAGGTGACATTTTTAAGACACCTCTCCATCTTGCCCCCAAACTTTTTCCCAGACCCATCTCCCATGCTCTCTCCTCTTCTTTCTGAAGGCTCTATATCTTACAATGTAGCAATACTGGATTAACTATCACTGCTTCATGTATATCCCACTCTCCTGGCATTTATTCGTATGAATCCCAGGAATGGGCCAAAATCCTATTATCTTGCAGGGCCCAACTCAAATGGCTCAGCCCCCAAGGAGAATTTAATTGCTCCCTCTTCTGTAGTCTCACAACAGCCAGAACAGACTGGCCTGAATAGTCCACTGTATGCAAATCCATCCCCACAACAGGCTAGATGGTCCAGGGAACAGTTTCGTCCTCATGTTCCTGACTCCAGTGTAAGCAATGGAAAACCAGACTGAGCTCCTCACTGGGGCTCTAGTCACCATCGCCAACAAAGGTCAGTTCAATACCCCAAGCGAGCTAGACTGGTGCTACCCCAAGAGTGCTTCCCAAACAGGCGACACCAGCATCTCCTGGGAGATTGTGAGAAATGCAAATTCTCAGGCTGGGCCCCGTCATACAGAATCAGAATCCCTGAGGCTGGGGCCCAGGAATCTGCCTCAACAAGATCCTCAGATGATCATCCCACACAACGTGGAGCTGGAGAAATTCTGTATCAAACCAGGGCTTCTCAAACCTCAGGGCCATGTGCACATGAATCACCTGGGGTCCTGGTTCCACTGCACACTCTGATTCAGTGGGTCCAGGACAGGGCCCGAGAGTCTGCATTGCTAACAAGCTCCTAGGAGATGCTGATGCTGCTGGTCTGCGGGCCACACTGGGAGCAGCAAAGTCCTAATGACTGAACAAAGGGAGAAGGAACCAGTCCAAGTCTAGCCCTTGGAAATACCGATTAGGAACAGCCTCTGCTCGGAATGTAAGGTTTGGTATTTGTTGAAAGCATTTGAGAGAAGAATCATTTCATTATGAGCTAGTTAGCTCTTACTACACACTTTTTCTCTGAAATGACTGCTGAGCCATTTAAAAGCAAGCACTGAACGGGCAGATTCCTGTGAACCCTTGAAAGCAGGGACTACATCTTACTCATTCTGTTTCCACTTAGTACCTAGCATAGAGCTGCTTGATAAAGGTTTGCTGAATGAATAAATGATATTTAAGGCTTTTGCTCCTGAACGGCAAGTCATTATTTATTTAGGGAAAATGGATGCAACTTTCCTAAGTGTGAGCTGTCTTCCCCTCAAAAGAAGTTTATAAGGAATATTATCTTCCCTTTGAGCAGATGAAAGAAGAGAACAGAAGAATTAACCAGGAGAGGTAATGTTTTGCTTTGATTGCTGCGGCTCTTATTAGCCAATGCAGTTGATGTGTAGGAAGTGAGAAGACAGAGTATCCCAAATTCACATTTCACCCGCTTCTAACGTGGAGAACCTGATTATTTGTTAGCAATGGTTTCTGTGGTGTCTGAGCAAAATAACATCAGGAACATATCATGTGAACCAGCTAAACTATGCCACCAAGGAAACCATGAGAGATTAATTTGGAACTGCTGAGACCCTAGGTGTCTGTGGAAGTATCATTATTGGACACACCTGAAAGAATATGACAACAACAGTATACAGCGCATGGATTTTCCCACTTTTCAATTAAAAAAAGTTGCCATTGGAATCAATCACATGGGCACGAATATTTTCTTTCAGTGAAGTTAATTTAGGGGTTAATTAGCAGCTTAGATTCACAGGACCACGAAAAGAATGGGGTCTATATGGAGAGTTGCCAGATAAAATACAGGGCACCCAGTTAACGTCTGATTCTAGATAAACAATGAACACTTTAAATATAAGTGTGTCCCAAACATTGCACTGTTGTTTATCTGAAATTCAAATGTAACTGGGTGCTAGATCCGGCCACCCAAGTACATGAATCCCAGTCAATGAGCCTCCAAGCTGGGCTTAGGGGTTTGTACCTGGAGTCCCAGCTCCCCTCGGAGGTTTAGCCAAGAAGACAACTTGAGCCCTGGACCACAGCCATTAATATTCAGCTATATACAAAGAGTCAACTACGTACAAAGCACATGCCCGGCAACGTAGGAGACTCTAATAAATTAAGAACATGAATCCCTTCTTTGTATGCAGGGGCTAGAGAAATTAAAGTCTATTTAACCGTTATGTCTTACATGAGTTCTTACAGTGGCTGAAATGCTATTGCTACTGACTCTCCTTCTTAGCGGATGAATCAAGCAAGCAATCATCATTTCCTGACTTTCTGCTCTGTGTCTGATACGAGAAAACTATAAAATAAGGTTTTTCCCTCCAAAATCTTATCACCTTGATGGGGAGACCCATGAAGCAATTAGGGAAGAATTTAACGTTACGCTCTGCAGAATTGTTAAATTCAGAGAAAGCAAGGCCCTGGGTCAGAATTATGGGGAAGCCCTCAAAAAATGATGGAGGTTGAGCTGGGTTGGGTAATGTGTGAATAAGCATATTAGAAATTTCAAAGAAATCTTAAAATGGCCTCTTAAATGTCTCTTAAGAAAAGTGGTTTAATTCACTTGTAAATGTTCGAACGTGATCGAAGAAAACATCCTGATCCCTCAGAGCTGTTCTCAGGTACTTTATTCCACCCTCAGATTCCTTAAGATATACAAAAACCGAACTCAGGGCTTCCCTGGTGGCGCAGTGGTTGAGAGTCCGCCTGCCGATGCAGGAGACACGGGTTCGTGCCCCGGTCCAGGAAGATCCCACACGCTGCGGAGCGGCTAGGCCCCGTGAGCCATGGCCACTGAGCCTGCGTGTCCGGAGCCTGTGCTCCACACGGGAGAGGCCACAACAGTGAGAGGCTCGTGTACCGCAAAAAGATACACAAAAAATGAACTTAAATTTTTTACGTTATTTCAGTACCTAGGTTATCTTCACAAAATGCCATGTGAATATCCATCCACACATCTCTGGGCGCCCACCATGTACCAGGCACATGACTAGGAATCACAGCAGCGACATCTCAGCCCTCACGGAGCTCAATCTTTCTTCTGTTTACCAGAAATCATCCTTGTCATAATTAGTATTGACTCCTGGGAGCCACACAGAACAAGCTTACATATCATATAAACTCGTCTCATGTATCTTGCAAATATTTGAGGGCTATAATTTCCCTACTTAGTTTACTCTTCCTATCATCGACCAATTTCCCTTCAGCATGGTTTATATTCCTACCATCATGTTATTGTCACTCTTGTTTGTCCAGACTAGAGCATTCAGAACTGAAAGTAATGATCCCAGTGTAAGATATAGCACCAAGAACAACATATTAAATAACAGAGTAGAACTATTAACCATCATGAGCTGGATATTATACTTTTTGCAAATAAAGTCTAACATTAGGTTCACTTTTTTTAGGCAGCTGCACAACTGTTGGCATATGAAGAAGATAAGCTCCATGGGGGTAGGGATTTTTGACTATTTTGTTCACTACTGTCTCCCCAATGGTAAGAAAAGGGCATGGCAGGTAGTACTTTCAATACATGTTAGAGTGAATTAATGAATGACTGGATGGATGAATGGAAGAATATAAAGTTTAGGGTCAATTAAATGACCAGATCATTTTTACCTGAACTTCTGCCAAACAAGATCTCCTTTCTTACTCAGGCTTGACCTTTTGAGCTTAACGTCTTCACTTTAGCTTCATTCAACTCAATCTTTTGGGTTCCGTGCAATGCTTCAAATGATCAGAAATATTCTGAATTTTGATTCTCTCTTCTATTATAGTTACTACCCCTCTCCACTTTGGGCCATCTGCATATTTTGTTGGTACACATTCATACCGTATGTCTTCATCTACATTCCTAGTTAAAGTCTTAAGTGAGAGTCACATGCCAGAACTCCATGGTATTCCACCAGAGACCCCATCAAGAAAACCAAGACATTAATCAGCTGGCTTCAATGGCTGCTGAGTTACAAACGCAGCAGTCTTAGCCCATATTCTACTGTACTAACCATAAGTAGACAATTAGATTCTCGGCTGAAATGGCATTCCTCACTTTTACACAGCACATAATACTATTTGAAAGGGAAATGGAATGTTTGGGAAGTTTTGTTCTTAGTAAACCCACGGTGACTTCTAGCACCTACTACAGTCTTTACTAAATGATTATAAACCATATGCTTAATTTACTGTTCCAGAACTTTGCTGTGCATTGGAGCCAAATTTCCCCATCTATACATCTCACAGTCTACCTTTTTCATATTTGGAAAATTTGCCGACATCTCTTATATTGTTTTCTCAAATATTTCAACTGTGACTTTTTTGCGATAAGTGCGATTTCCTTAGTCCCCTGGGATGTAACACATCTAAACCTAGTGAACTAATTTTATAACTTTCTTTAGGCCCCACTTACATAGCTGTTTTCTACATACCATTTACTGAGTGTTAAGTCTGTGTCAAAACTATACTAAGTATTTTTAAGGATTTCATGTAATACAGCAATCCTACAAAGTAGCTATCATTCTCCCTATTTTTAAAAGAGGAAAACTAAGACCCCCAGGAGGCTAGGAAAGTGTTCCAAGGTCATACTACTAGTAACTGGAATTGCCAAGATTCTAACTCCCAAGACCCTGTTCAAGCACTTATGTTATAACTTCATATTAACTAGTAACTATGAGAATACCTAACAGTTCACATAAATTCAGTTATTTGCATAGAATTACCACACCTAAAGCATTAAATTTCATAACTAACAATATGATATCCACTTCTGAGGGGAGTGGGGCAGAGATTTGTTCTACTATCCTGAACTCTACTGGAAGCTCTCAAGATACTTGGTTATACACATCCTGACAGATGAAATCCCAGCGGGTCAAAGGGAACCAGAGGCA